TAAATCCCTACTTCACACTCACTTTTAGTAACTTGATTTTTTGTTAATACTCTGTCTCTGAGTACTTGTAATAATGATCACAACAGGTAGCTTAAAAGCTCAAATGATAGCCCTGGTGAGGTGGCTCAGTTGGAGCATCGTCCCAACACAACAAGGTTGCAAGTTTGATCCCTGGTCAGGGAACATACAGGAATCAACAAGTGAGTGCATGGATAAGTGGAACAACAAATTGATGTTTGTCTGCCTCTGTCTTTCCCCCGGCCCTTAAAGTCAATAAATTTAAAAAAAAAAAATTAAAATTTTTAAAAAGCTCAGGCGAAAAAAACTAGAAGAAAATATAAATACATATGTATCTATATCAGTGGACAGAAATGGGGCCACGGACTAAAGCTCACTGTGTCGGGGGAGGCCTGCGCGGCAACCTTACACACTCTGACAGGGACAGTAACCACATGGGATGGTCTGAACATAAAAATTCCTGACCAAAAGCAAGTCACCGTGGACAGTCACATCCCAGGCCTGCAGCTTCCTTGATGAAGGTCACCCTTTACTTTAACTGAGTCTATTGTCTTTTTGCTTCTAAGATAACATACCTTTGAAATATCAGGTAATCTTTACCAGACCCCTCAGGGCACGACCACACCTGAGCAGAGACCTCAGAACCCCTCACTATTCCCTCCACCCCACACCATCTCTAAGTGCTGGAAAGGTTAATTAGTAACTATCCTCTACCTTCAATGTAAAAATAAAGTATGTGTCTCTCTGTTTTTTATCCAGTCTCAGAGATTTCCCGAAATTGCTTCCTCCCACCTCCTTAACCCACCCCAGTGGATTTCACGTAGCCCTCTTTATATCTCCTCCTCTGATTCTAATGCATAAAAACTGCCATCCTCTGGAGCATTTTCTCAATCTGTAGAGATTTTGCTTCCCAGCAATTGTCATCAGTCTGGTTCAAGTAAACTCATAAAAATCTCCACAGGTCTAGACGTGTCTTATGTTGATATATCTTTGGTTTGGAGATGACTCTAGTCATAATAACTAAATAAATCAGAGGTGAATTTTTGGAAATCTATAATGTAATAAAAATTTGAAACATTTAATGTGAAAAATAACTTGTGACCAAAATTAAATGCAAAATAAAATCTGGAAAATATTTGAAGCCAACATGGCAAGGGCTAATTCTCTTTACTCCTTAAAAAACCTCATAAATTGGTGAGACACAAGAAGAATGAACCCCAACCCTATGGACAAGGATGGTTTGCTGTTGCCAGCTCCTAACCCAGTTCAGAGCAGTGCGCCCTATGGGACTAGGGCTGACAGCTCCAAACCACACCAGGCATTATGAAGGAGAAACATGCATATGAGCCCCTGGAAAACCTTAAAAAGAACCAGAGGAAATGGAGTGCTTTTTATAACAAAAGATCCAACATATAGAAGAATTCATATCCAAGGAACTAGAAACTGAAAAAATATGAAAAGAACATTAAAAATAAAGTAGATTGAAATCCTCCAAGAGAAAAATAAAGGAATAGCATCCATGAAGCAAAGAGCAGAACAGGAAAACATGAAAAAGAATCAAATGAAGCATGTACTGCTGCTGGGAATATACCCTCAGAATCCCAAGTCACCAGTTCAAAAGAACTTATGCACCCCTATGTTTATATAGGCTATTTACGATAGCCAAGTGCTGGAAACAGCCTAAGTGCCCATCAAAAAACGAGTGGATCAAAAAACTGTGGTACATTTACACAATGGAATGACATGCAGCAGAAAGAAAGAACTCCTATTTTTAGCGACAGCATGGATGGAACTGGAGAATGTCATGCTAAGTGAAATAAGCCAGGTGGTGAAAGACAAATACCGTATGATCTCACCCATAAGAGGAGTCTAATGAACAAAATTAACTAACAAACAAAACAGAACCACAAGCATGGAAACATGGAGCAGACTGACAGCGGCCAGAGGGAGGAGGGGGAAGACAATGGTGGGAAGAAGGGGAAGGGACTAGTCAAAGGACGTGTATAAATGAGCCATGGACATGGGCAACAGAGTGGGGATTGACTGTGGGAGCGGGAGATGGGGGTGGGGTGGGTGGAGGAGGGCAAAGGGGAAAAATTGGGACTGTAATAGGATAACAATAAGAAATGATTTTAAAAAAGCAGTGAAGCAAATAGTTATTGATATTTTTTAAAAAGGCACTTGGCATGCCATTTATACAAGAAACATGAAAATGAATTCCAAAAACAGGCCCATACTACAATAAAACCAGAAGTAGTGAAAGAATCAGACAAAGACAAAGACTGTATGGTCTCACATATGCGGAATCTAAAAGAGCTGAAATAGAAACAGAGTAGAATTGTGGTTATGGGGGGCGGGGGGAGGGAAATGGAGAGATACTAGTCAAAGGTACAAACTTCCAGTTACAAGACGAATAATTTCTGGAGATTGTAGTTAATAATACTGTATTATATACTTGAAAGTTACTAAGAACGAAGCTTTTAAATGTTCTTCACACACACACACACACACACACACACACAAAGTGTTAACTATGTGAGGGAATGGAGGAGTTAATGTTGTGCTGGTAATCACTTCACAGTATATAAATGTATCAAATCAATATGTGGTACACCTTAAACTTATACAAGTTATATGTCAATTATATCTCAATAAAGCTGAAAAAAACAAATATTAAAAACATAAATAGTTGTAGAAGATAAATAAATAAATAACAAGATGCCCTAAATGATATAGAGGCAGTTGCAAAGAAAATTGGGGTGCTTTAGAATCTACCACTCTCCAAGAGTGCACTGTTAACAAATTAAGAGATAAGAAATATACAAATCTAACAAATTTTTTTCCCAGAAAAGTCACATATGTAGCTACATACAGAGTTTTAAAAGCAATTTCAGGAGGTTCCCAGAGTCCTTGAAACTCAACGTTCATCCTAGAATTCTGAATTCAAAATACCTTAAGATCAGAAATCTGACCCTCTCTATTAATATATATAATAAAATACTGGTCCAACAGACATTAAATTGGTGTTAGAATCAAGTCAAAGAGAAGCCAAACCAATGTAACTCAATCAATCTGATCAAGAAATGAAATTCACCAAGCAAATATCCCAAATCCTGGTAAATGTTGTTTTCAAAATTCAGGTAAGATTGAGAAAATCAGTAATTATCCTAGCAAATAAAAGAACTCTAGTACGTACTAAACTTGGTTAATTTTAACATAATTATCATTTTAGATGCAGTTATTATTTTGAAGTTCATACTAGCATCTCAAAATGTGACTGAAAAAAAGAGTTTGGAATGGGCAAAAAAACCCCAACAATTTTTAAAAGATAATGTTAAATGACCCATATGAGGATACAAGATTGTAGAATTTGAAAGAACCTAAATTGCTCTGAATTAGAAAAGGGTGAGATATAAAGAAACCTATGGAAAAAAAAAACTAGAGAAATTGCCTATAATTGGGGGAATTTTAGGAACTAAGCTAGAAAAGAGCAATCAAAAAAATTCAGTGGCTAAAACATAGTGATTTGGGGTGAGGGGAACAGAGCTGTCTAATGGCAATCTCGGTGAAGGATGCTATAACCAATACAATGCAGTGCCACAGTATCTCCAGTAAAATGTACATATTGTGTTTTTAAAAATTTTTTTTAAATGAGAGTGGAAATAGGAGAGGCAATGAAGTACACAGTCCTCCTTAAAGGTTGGGCTATAGTAATAACACAGAAGACATGGAAAGCTAGCCCAAGTCTGTATTACTCAAGAAGGATTTGAATTTGCCTTTTACAATGAACCAAAGCAGAAACGTTTAGTCATCATCTAAATTTCAGTAGAAGACAGCTCTGAAAACATGAAAGAGATTCTGAAACCAAAAAATATTCCTTAAAATAGATTTGAAATATTTTACAACATAAAATTCAAATGACATACTGAGTATCTTCTGCTTAAAGCAGCTAAAATCTTTGGAAGGTACAATGGTGACTTCTCTGAAGATCTCCAGTGAGAATTCAGAAATAAAATTGTGTCTCTTGAACATTTTTTAAAGTGCTTTAATAAACTTCAGTATTAAGATTCTTTCAGGGCATATATTTCCATAGGTTTTCTTCAAGCTGAAGTGGAGAGAAATCCTCTTGGTTGAAGACTCTGAAATATTTAGAATCATGTATTTATCTTCTTTGAGTATTTTCATGTTAGGCTGGCTTGAAGTGCACAATTTTATAAGAATAGTGTCTGATTTGAAATAGTAAATCTGAGTCACAACAGACCAGAATCCTTTGAAATACACTCATGTTGCAACAGTGGGGAAAAGCTTGTTCTGTTTTGATTTTTGTCTTTCTGTTTGTTTGTTTTTTAAGAAATCTTCATTTGATGTACCCATTTTCCACTTGAAAACATAAGTGTATGCAAGTCCGTCTCCACATGCCATCTCTCTGCTAAGATGCTAGGGCATTTATGTATGAATCTTTGTTTCCCCTCAAAACATGTTTCCTTCGGGGAAGAAATTGAAGGATGAGTTTTCAATCTTTGCAGTCCACCTACAAAGGCTTTCCCAGAGTGAAACTCTATGTGCTGGAACATTCTATTCCTAATTAAAAGTAGCAAACAGGAAACTGCATGGTTTAGAATGGTGTGGTCATTTAAGCCTTTAATGGAGAAAATGCTTTCTTCATATTCGTGAAATAAAATTAAACTGAAATACATTTTGAATCAACATTTCAAGACTTCATTATAATTATATTTAAAGCACAGAAGCAGAGAAACTATATGCACTGAAATCTTGACTGATAAATATAAATACTAAATATGTTCTACAAAATGTTCAATGAAGTATTCTAAAACATGTATTTAGAGAATTATGTCATTGAGAAAACTATATACAGTTAGTCCTAAATATCTGCCAAAATAAAATAAGGCTAAAGAAATCAAAAGTAAACATGTTAAAGAAATCAAAATTAAAATAATAAATGATTTTCAAAAGGCACTCACCAATCATAATCGAAGACTCGCAATGATAATAACCATTACTTTGCTTTTTCTTCAGCATGGAGCAAAGATCGATGCGACGCACCATTTCTTCTCCAAATCTGTGACTGATAAATTTTTCATAGAACTTGGGGTCTATTTTTTTCACTCCCTTGAAATGACAAAACAAAATTACATCAATCAATCATTTCATCTGGGCAGCCAGTTCATATTTATATCACTTTCTTAGACTCTGACATTACATTTTGGAACACAGTACCTACCGCCTGTGGGCATTTGAAAATGGATACCACAAAACTGTTGTAAAGCTGTTTTTAAAGTCCCTTTGCCTAGCATGAGTTGTATTAAAAAACCATTAAAGAATATTATGTTTAAATTTGTCAACATTCAAAACTTCAAATACTTTAAGCTTCAATATATCAATTTGAAATTTGAGATAACAATAGTTATCTCCAACAACAATTGGAGAAATGGATGAATTTTGAAAAGTGATACAGATTTTAACATTTTAGAGTATAAAACAGTTTTAGTAAGATGGATGCCATTTTTAAATTCCTTATGTAAGAATCATATGAAAGGCCATTAAAGGTTATTTGAGTTGGATAGAACATTAGTTTTAAGCACTTTCAAGTTCTTCTCCCTTATTCTCAGTGTCCTTCACAGCAGAAAGAGGACCAGTTGAAAATGATACTGGAATGTTCTTGATACCGCTGTCGTCTCCCAAAGCAGGAAAAATTATATTCCCATCCCCTTATTATACAAGTGGTCCTGCACCCAGTCTTACAATCCCAAAACATAGTCCGTAATATGAAAGTACAATACTTTTTATTTAAGTATTTTTAATATTACTTTGGCAATACTTGTCATGTGTTAAAAATTTTTAAATATGAAGACTCTAGACAGAAAGAAAAACCATTCATGACCCTATTTATATAAAATCCATTATTAACATTGGAGTGTATACTTTTAGTCTTTTCTAAGCATATATTGTTTTTGGATTATATTTATATAAATCTTACGATAAAGCATAAGAATATATATTTGCTCTTTTTAGTCACAAAAATTATTTACAAAAAAAGTAAATGGACATAAAAACAAAAAATTAAAAATTAAATCATGCCAAAATGCTACTATTATAATTTTGTTATGTTTTTTATTTTCCTATGCAAAACAAAGTACTTTTTATTTCTTTATCGGAATGTGATTGTGCCATGAGAACTATTTAATAACCAGCTATTTTGTTAATTCTCCAAAGGGTTCCCATTTCTCTCAGAGTCAGATTCCCAGAACAGCCTATGAGGTCCTGTTCTGCCATCTCCAGACTCCTTGGCCCTGGTCTCCTACAGCTCTTCCCTGGGCCTCTTCAGCCTCCCTGGCTTCCTTGCTCTTCCCTGAACTTGTGCCCTGAGGCACAAGCCGACCTCAAAGCCTTTGCATTGCCTGTTCCCTCTCCCTGGAATGTTCTCCTCCCAGAGATCCCCATAGCCCAACTCCCAACTCCTTTAACTCCTTGTTTAAAAGAGCCTTACCTGACCATCCATTTAATTTGTACTCCTGCTCCCAAGAGGTACTCCCAAATCCTCTCTACCCTTCCCTCTTTATATACATTTATGCATATTTTTCCATAGCACTTACCATCTATGTTACCATTACACAACATACCATGTAATTTATTTTGTTACGCTGATTTCTCATTGTCTGTCATTATCTATCCCTCCCCATTAGAATGTCAGCTCCACATGAAAAAGAATTTTCATCTGATTTTTAGCCACTGAAATATCACCAATGCCTAGAGCAGTGCTTGACATACAGCGGCGCTCATTAAATGTCACAAATGCAAAGGAGGATAAAGCTGCAAGAAGAGGCACTCTTCTAGGCACAGTGCCTAGGAGGCACTGTGGACTATCAAATGGTTTTCATTCACGGCTAGATAAGAACGAAAGCGAGTGGCTTTCTTTTGATCTGGTGAGTAGAATGCCACTGCAGAGCATTATGCTGAGTAATGCTGAGGGGCAGTCAGAACGCGAGTTCAACTCCAGGCTCTGCCATTTTTCAGCCATGTGCTTCACTTTGGTTTCCTCAACTATGAAATGAGGTTAACAATAGTACCTACCTCAAAGTGTTACGTGACTAAATAAGTGAGTTTATGAAAGTGCTTATACCAGTGAAATACAGTAAATGCCATTTTCTCTGTGTGTGTGTGTGTGTGTGTATCATTAGTAAACTTTAGAGAAAAACTTCAGTAGAGATAAGATTTGAGAAATTTTAAAAAATTGAGTAAATGGAAACTGATCATTCTTCTTTCTCTTTTAAATGTGAGTGGGGGGGTGTTGGTTGAGGGGGATGGTGTTGGGGATGGTTATCAGACCCTTAGACCAGACGGAAAACAAGTGTTAGCAGAAAAAGAAGGGCTCTCAGATACCAATGCCAGCAGCCCCTCTAATCTCCATTTCAGCTTTGAAAGATATCATTTTTTTAAGGTAAAAAATAAGGGAAACATAAGACAGACTCTAATCTGTTAGGTGAATTAATTTAATTTTAGTAAAAAAGTAGGTACCAACTATTTTGCAAGAATTATTCACAGACAACTCCCAACATGAACCTTAAGGTGTTAATTTTATTTTTTAATTTTTACTAGAGAATAAAATGGAACTAGTTCTCTAACTCAATTTAGAGAGAGAGCTGAGGTTGAAACAGGCATGAGTCCTAGAAGGCACTGAAATTATAAGCACTTATCAGAAAACATCATCAATAATAAAGTATATAGAAACATAACATGCTTTATCTGATATATAATATTACTAGGCTCTTTGTTCCCCAGGGAGTTTTTTATTTGGCAATACATTTTTTTCCCCAGGCTCTCTGTCCCATGTCAATATATTTCTCTTCTAGTAACATTTATCTGAATTTGTCTCAGCATCCAGCTGTAGCAGGTGGTATTTCTCTTTCATAATATAAAAAAAAAAGGACTAGCATTCTAAGAAAATAAATGAGTACATTAAACTTGGATATTATTTAGAATAAGGGTAAGCAGTCTCCTATGTTATGAATAGATCATTGGGTTGCTAAAATAGTCCCAAAGACATCAGCCTGTAAGATTATATTTTAAAGCTCAAAAAGCGAGGTGATGGTATTATTTTCAGGTTTTGGACCCCAAAACTATTCTCTGCTTTCCTCCTTCATAGGCCAGAGTACCTTGTCATTTAAAGATTGGTTGAGATACAACATATTAGGAGACCCTTAAGAAAACCACAAAAATGGTTAAAGGCAGGAGAATTTCACCTATGCAAAGGCTAAGAGACTTGGGGTTACTTCAAATGCAGAGAAACAATACAATAGGTTATCTTCAATAAAACCATGCTAAGGGTGCTTCAAACCTTAGAATTCTGAATATGCCTGATTGATTATCTAATACCTTTTCTTGAAAATTATTTTGCCTTGGATCTAACATGGACAAGATATATTTTTCACATTTATAACTGTACAACATCAATTATGCAACATAATATTGAAAGAGAAAATAGGAAGTTAAATACAAGGTATGTGACTTTGAAACAATAAACCAGTGGCAATAAACCTCAAACAGAAAAGCTTTTCAAGGCTGTCTTAATTAATCATTAGAAATGACTGAAGTTTGACTTCCCATTAGCCCAGTTTCAGTCACAGTTTAGAGAAAATTATCAGTGTGTTCAAAGCATTTGATAACCTTTGATACAATGTACCATGAGACCCTGAAGAACTTTACTCTTGATTGTAACTTGGCACCCGAACAGCCAATACAGGAAAAAGGCCACTGAGAGCATGATGAGTATTTTTAGAATCCTCTAATGGCAGCATCTGACAAGCAGTGGGCACTGTTTACCCAGGAAGCACTCACCACATCATTTGCATTTAGCTGAATGATGTATGTAATTTAACATGCACAAAAGGGGGCTCAGACTTACAGTCCTCAGCAGCCAACTCTGTTTTCAATATAGAAAGTGAAGCACCATGAAATATGAAAACTCACATTAGTTAGCAATCTGAATGTGAAAATCGTTCATTTCAGGTTCGGAATGGTTATTCATCTTTAATTCCTATGAAAAAGTTATTACAATAAAAAAGATGAAAAGACAGTTTTATTAAGAGGATTAAGGCTTTTTATATAACAGAAGGTAATTTCTTATAGTGACTTTATAATAATGTTTCCCTGATGAAAATACAAACAGGCTGCATAACAGACAAAGAAATTTGTGTGTCCTGCTGATGGTAAGCTTGACATTCCTAGAGCGCTACTGTGTGTTCCACCAATGTATTCCTGTCATACAGTGGCTATAAAAGAGATGTATACATTGATTTGAAACCAAAATTCAGAAGTTAAATTAAGAGCCAAAACAAACTGGCTTGTCATCTTGGACATCAACTGGTTCAAGAGAAATGGTAACTTTTTACACTCATTTTCCTGAGTACAAAAAGGTTACTTATCTTTTGTGGTCAAAAAAACTAGTCATTTTTAATGATCACCGCTCCTAATATATGAAAAGTTACATATTAGTGACTCAAAGTTATGAAAAGATTACATATTGACACGGGGCTTCTCTGAACCAAATCATATTTTACAATTTTTTTTTAAATAATCAAAATTTACTTTCTCACAGTTCTGGAGGCTGGGGGTCCGAGAGTGAGGTGCCAGCACGTTTGCTTTCTCCCGAGGCCTCCCTCCTTGGCTTGCAGACGGCCACCTTCTCACTGTGTGCAAAACTCTTGTGTCTCTTCCACTTCTTATTACGATACCAGTCATACTGGATTAGAGCACCACCCTTACGACCTCATTTAACCTTAAAAACCTCTTTTAAGGCCCTGTCTCCAAATAAGTGACACAGTAGGTTAGGATTTCAACATATAAATTTGGCTGGGGGGAAGCATGTCCGCAACACGTAGTCATGCAGTCATCCTCAAGAAATGAGGAATGTGCAATTTTAATGCATTCAGAACGTTCTATTCCCATTCTCTCTCCCTCTCCCCCTCCCTCTCTCTCCTCTCTCATCTCTCTCCTTTGCCAGAAGAGCCAGATCTCTCTGATTTCTCTCCCTAGTCTACTGTCATTTAAGGGGCTTTTTATTTGGTTGCTATATATTTGTCCAGAGAGAATGATTTGTTCCTCTGGGTGCG